TATGTATGTATGTATGTATGTATGTATGTATGTATGTATGTATGTATGTATGTATGTATGTATGTATGTATTGATTGATTGATTGAATGATTGTTTGAAAGATACCTACACTCCAGTAACAAATCTCTTATCTCATCAGCTAGCACAAAAAATGGCAAATGCTCTTCAATTAGGCGATTGTCTACATTTTAAAGGGCTTGCTTTATAGCAGGAAATAATACAATGAATGTATAATACAATGAATCAGTTAATTTTTTGCTGATTTCGCTGACTTTCACAAATAGTGTGCTAAACCCGTAAGAAAATTTATATTTCTTGTTTTGTTTTTTTCTAAAGTTTGGTTTGGGATATATTTATCAAGCCTATTAATCTTTTTAGTTATAAGCTGAAGCAATAAGTTTTAATAACTCGCAAATTAGCAAATACATTTACAATACAGCAGCATCTTATTTACCATATCGTAACTACTAGTACCATAAAGCTAAATAATTGGAAGCCCCACGCGAGCACACTTTGTGATTCTCTACAATAGCACCCTATTCTCTAGAATACCTATATATTTTCACCTTCTAATATCGATCACTGATCTTTTGAGTTAAAAATCTTAGTAGTGTCTTTCATTTTTTTCATGATAATTCAATTTTATCCCAATTACAAGTATAACTTGGAAGCCACACATGTACGCACTGCGGACCTACTTTCTTTCGCGTCTCGCTTGACGGACTAAGCGAAAGAGGGACTACTCGTAGTCTATGCGCCTTCATTTTGTGGAACACATTTCTTCCCTTTTCTAATCAGATACTAAAAATTATAGTTCCTCGATAAATTTTCTCTGATTCTTACTGGTTTAAATTGATCACGTGACGCGATAGTATTCATCGGCGGAAAGTCATTTTCTGCCCATAGCGCCCGTCCGAGGAAAATACCCGGATGGATAAGACTCGTCGGTAAAAATTTTTCTGTAAACAAGCTAGCTTATAGAAAACAACAACAACAACAGCAACAACTTGAAGGACGCAATAAGTCTGTTTTCTTTGTCAAATTTTGAATTTGGCTCTCACGCCTTTCATCTAAAAAATTTGAAAATAATTCAATACGTTTTTTTTAAACTGGCACGCAGAAGAAACTTTAGTGGTGATAAACTAAAAACAATAGAGTGTTATGTCTCGGAACTATCGGTCTGATAGTTGCCCCTTGAAAGTTTGATGTCCTTAAAGCTAGCATATTTGCCCGAGAAGCAAAGCTTCGAGGGCAAATATTCGTTTTAAGAACGTCAAATATCCATGGGGCAACTCTCAGACGATGAGTAATGATAGCGATCCCCCTTCTCAATTCGCTAAATAAACTAATATAAATTAAAGCATACTTGGTCAAACTTTCTTCACTTAAGATAATCTACCTTCTACCTGGTTTATGGTGTACGTAAGCTCACGAAGGAGCACAACTTACCTGTTGGTTTTGGTGTGGTAGGAGGTAGAGTTGTGGGAGGAGGACGCACTAAAACAGAAACAAAAAAGACAGTAGTAAAAGACGTCTTTGTCAAAGATTAATTCTCTGGAAACGAAAAGAAAAGTCGAGTCCTGCAATGGAGACCATACTTGAATAAAAGCTGCTCCTAGTAGTTAACAATCATTCCACGGGCGCGTATTGGATATGAGATGATAGATAGCCAACAAATGGGTTCCTCAGGTTTTATTCAACTGATAGATACTCTGTCACCAAATTTTGTGACATTTAAAAACGTTATTTGTAAAAGCTACCTCGAGTCGTCCAGTTCTCCCGGTAATAATACTCTTCAGTAACTAATCTCGAAAAAAACGCAACCTCAAATGGAAACCTACTCCATTTTACACCCTTTTACCAGAAAGAGTTAAAACAAAATAGTCTCTCTACTGACCTTCACAAAGCCGCTTTCTTATCTCGACAGCAAGGGTCTGCAGTTCCTTAAATGACGCAGATGTAAAGACGTTCTCTTGGCTCGATGCCATTTCCCTCAACTCTGCTGCATCAGCTCCCTTGCCAACTCCAACAGCATATACTGCAATTCCCGCGTTCTTCACTCCTTGAGATGCTACTGATAGTTTGGTATAAGGTTTTGATGTTGTTTGTTTTCCATCCGTGATGACAACAAGAGCCTGAACAAATAAAACAAATTCCTTTGGCCAAATAGCAACGTAAAAAAGAACAAACGCGGCAACTACCGGATGTTTTCACTCACAAGGCGAAAAGGCTATACAAGTTCATTGGAACAAACAAAAGTGTTTACATAAGAAAAGAGTAATTTGATACTCGAATGCAATGATGAGCATATTGTGGTTATAAAAATTTCCTCATTGTTTTGTTCTTCAGTTTATTCGGTTTGCTGAAATGCTTATTGATTAATTTCTTTAAAGGTTATTGTGTCTAGTAGATAATTAGTATAGGCTTGGCTAAATCTAGATATTATCTTAATTTACTGACCACCCGTAATTATCCTTTATAAGATGATGCATAAATGAAGCAAAAAGAAGGATGATCTACTTCTGAGTACGTTATTAAGTTACATCGCCCAGCGCTTCCTCATCGACGTACCTTGCCTACGTTTGGTCTCATGCCATTTGCACTCTGGAACAAATCACTGTCTGCCAGGAATAGAGCTTTATCAGTATAAGTAAAACCGCGCTGCCAACGCATTCCATCAAACGCGAAATTCACTTCATTCGTACCCTGACGGCTGTTAAATCGCAACACTACCTCAGGGTTGTTGCTATAGGCAACAGCTGCTACGTGTGTAGAGGAAGGACTGACGTCAAGTTTGCTGACCAACGCTTTTAGGAATCGCTTCATTCTTCCCCAGTTGCGTCGTCCAATGCTTCCAGATGAGTCGATAACAAATCCAATATCTGCAATTGGCTTGCATTCCTTGTCTGGTGAAAAAGTAAAGCTTGATAAATTAAAGTTATTCCAAGCTGTGCTGTTATTTCATAATCGCTTATCAAATATTGGTAAGAAGAAAGATCTAGGGCTCTATTGTTATACAAATTTATTTCCTCAGTGCTAACGTAAACTGGGGTCTCAAATGGTCTCTAAATTCATCGTTGTATGCTTTCTACAATTTGCAGTGTTGTTTGCTTTGGACTGGTGGTGGCTACACGTTTAAATGATTACCGGCCTATACGTAAGAGTTACAATTTATTTGAGACCACAACCCGAGAAGTTTTGGAACCACGTAACTAAATAAACTACCAGATTGAGACACCAGATAACGCCCGAAGATTGAAAGACTGTTTGGTTTTTCTTTTGCTGTGCGTTTAGCTCTTTTCAGTGGAACGATGCTAACACACCCGCAAAAAGGCGTCACTTTGGGGAGTTAAAAGGAATGTTGATTTTATAATGACTCCATTGTCCACTGATCCTTGGAACTTATTTTTAAAGCGGATAAATGACAACTATATTTTTAGTACCAATGCATGAATTTACTCCGTTTTGTAATAATATTGATGGGACCTCACATACCGCATGGTGCACGGTTTGTAACAGTCACTAGATCTTCTGTGACGCAAGATTGCCTCCTCATGTGACACTCAGAACCATCCTGAACATCATCTGAAGTACAAACAGGGTTAAGCGTGTCCGGACATGTTGGGCAGATGCACTCTGCTGTGTTGTTGACAGTTCTGCAGCCTATGTTGTAGGGCGCCTTGCAGCCAATAGTCTTGCACGGATCTGGAGGTTTCGCTAAGAAGAATAAAATGCAAAAATTCAGCAACAGTTGTGGAAGGTCATATCGATCGCATATTATTTAACTGCACAAATTACACGATAGTATAGTGGATGCCACCATAAATCAGATGCAACGTTCCAAAGGTCTGCTTCAGAGGGCTTGGATTGATATTTTTATATTTCGTAATCAAGTACGTCCCTAACAGAATCTTAAGAACCTTACGTTTTCTCAATTATGTTTTAATTCTTTTTTAGGTAAGGTTGCCTCTATTCTTTCACCAAATATGATTATTCTGGGTAAATAGGGCTCCTTTTTTAACAACTGGAGGGAAAGTAGAGTCAGGTGAAAATGCTAAAAGGGAAGGAGAAAGGTGGGGGAGAGTGTTGAGCGCTTATTGAAAAAAGGAAACAAGTACGATCACAAGACAAACGAAGAAAAGAGCACGAGCTGGATGTAAATGTACTTAAAAACATGAGGAAAACAATGTACAACATCACGCTTTTAACGTTTTGTAGTTATCAACATCTTAATTAATGTACAGCGCACGCACAAATGAATGCTTTGTCTGCAACTGATAGAACCATTTAAAGAGCAGAAGAAGCAGAATGCCCGCTAGCAGCTTTAGAAATGAAATGCAATATTTTAACGCATCCGATTCCTTTTACATGACATAAACAACATAGCGAAGTTGCGGCAACAGTTTTCTTTGCAAAGAACATTAGAACACAAAGCTGAGAGTACAGCTTGCCAGTTTTCTAATCATTGCACTTAAATGTTCTTTATTCGCTTCTTCAGAATCGGGAGGAAATCTGGGGCGAGGCTAATCTCCCAATTGCTTGTGGGGTCATTACTGGCGACAATAGAGTTTTCGTCTTTATAACTTGTTTTGGTTCCCAGTAACGGCCCCAGAAGCCGCTGCGAGACAAGCCAGCTCCAGGTTTGCTCTCGCTTCCAAAAGGCAAATTGACTTTTCCCGTAACTTCGACATAATAACTAATCAATCAATGGAAAAAGAAACTTAAGTAACCTAAAGTGAGTATTTTTCTGCATGAGAATGAATTAACATCTATAAAATAAATACTGTGATGTATTCTTGTCCTTAATTTTCGTAATTAAACACCCCTTATTTAGAAAAGCTTAAAATTCACGTTCGCTTCTTCCATGGAGACAAAGCTCCCTTACTTCGACAAGACTTCTCCACAATTGGCTTCACGACATTGACGAGTTCCTCAAAACCGGAAGATGTGAACACGTTGTCATTAGAACTTGCAATCAGTCGTAGTTGATCAACTTTAACACCGCCACCAACACCCAAGGCGAACACTTCAACTCCCTTATCTTTGATCCTTTTAGAAGCAATATCCAAAGGTGTATATCCTCGGAATGTGGTCTGCTCTCCATCGGTGATCACTATAGCGACCTGTTGAGAATTGAAATAAAAGTTTCGTTGAGTTTTTTCCGTGAAGCTTCTTTCATTTCCAGAGTTGTTGCGATGTGAACGTCAAATCATCTAATATAAAATCAGGCTTTAAAAAAAATGCACGTTTTAAAATTACTGACTTAGCATAAAAGAGCTCAGTTACGAAATTGTGACCATATACAAAATTACCTTTGAATTGAAGAAAACCTGAAAATAGTAGTTTATTAAGATAGAAAAACGGTAAAGAGAGAATAATAAACCTTAAAGGAACAAAGATGGTTAAGGATGGAGAAGACTTTTAAAGTTGTTTCATTTCCAGAGTTGTTGTCATGCAGATGTCACGTCACCTAATGTAAATGCAGACTTTTAATCATGGTAAAATATGCGAGAAAGTTCCGGCCCCTATCTACGGAAATGAAGGCAATGTGCCCACCCAGTCTCTCTCTGAGACTGGAAACGATTCTAAAACGGCATGTGATTTTATGCAGGTACAAAAATACCGGATCAGCAGCGGACAAGCGGTACGGACAGGTGTGATTTACAGGTGTGATTTACAGGCCTGACTGCTCCGATTTTTTGGCCGACTCCAATTTAAACCAATTAGATATGACTGTAGCTATATTTAGCGAGCTAAAAATTGTTGTGCAATTTCTTACCTGCGATACACCAGGCCTCATTCCAGCGTTTGTAATGAACACCTGTTCATCAGCCATTATCAGAGCCTTGTCGATGTAAGTAAAGCCTCTCTGAAATCCTATTTTATCGATCAGTTTTCCATATTCCTCTGCTGTAATTTGTGCGCCAGACAAGGTGTTGAAAGTAAACTCCAGCTTTGCGCTGGTGCTGTAGGCAATTACAGCTATATGACTACCATCTGGACCAACGTTGAACACATTGGTAACTTCTTTCAAGAAGTTTATCATCAATGGCCATCTTCTACGACCAATGCTTCCCGATGAATCAACAAGGAACGCCACATCTGCCGTAGCTTTGCAGCCTGAAAAACATCAACACTGTACCTAAAGACAATTCTTTCCCAAATCTAACAAAGAACAGCACTTCACCGCCTAAGCCGGCTTGAGCTTAAGTCGCGTGAAAAGAAGAGTCTCTTTGTGACGCCGCTTGATAATGGTTCCACCTATGCAAAATCGTTGTAATAGAAAACCTGTAAGGTTTTGAAAGCTTTTTTTGTTTCATTTTTAAGTTAAAAGGTCCAGTAGCCCTACCAATACAGCAGCTTCTCATGGCTCCTGGTAGCTTTGTTCGTTAACGGACAATGTTAGGGGGCTGAACCAAAACGTCATCAAGAAAATGTTTCTGAATAGTGTTGCATTGAGAAAGGCATAACAACACAAAAGGATCTGCACTAGCGAAACCGTTATAAATATTGGGGGCGTAAATATATTAAATGCAAATGAAAAGTGTTCTTGATGACAATTACTGGCTCAAATGAAATGAACAAAACTTACTCGGAGGAGTTGTGGGCAGCGGTATTGGAGTCGTACGTACAGGAGGCACTAAAAGAAGAGAAGATATAAATGCTTTTTTTTTTAAATATAATTTTTGCCACGCTTTATGTTTACATACTTTCACGGCACTTAAATATGTTAATGTATGACCTCAATGTGAGTTGAAAGAGCACAAAGTCACGACGTTTCAGCGTCCCCTTACTAATGCTGGGGAAACAACAACAACAACAACAACAACAACAACAACAACAACAAGATTAACAACAGCAACTAAACCCGGCGCTTCTATGCTATCATTTAACGGCATAAACAAAAAATGACAACAAGCAAGCCACAAATCTGTCATCAGTCTGAAAGGTCTGGAAGGTCTGAAGCTGTTGTCGCAATACATCGATAAATTTGTTTGTCCCCTTGAAGTGAAGAATGCATGGTACTTGCATGCCTTCGCCATCCCCAAGGTTAACAGCTTTGCCTTTCACTATAGCAGTACATGAACATTTCTCATCGGCCCTCAAAAAGTAGAAGACTGTCTTTGCAAAGCGTCCAGTTCTACCCTTCTTCAAATGTCCAACAATTTCGTCACCAAGCATTACGCAAACTGCATATTTGTCCACCACACTTTTTAGTTCCGGAACGGCTTCGAGCGCTTGTCCATTGTAGGTGTCTACAGTAGATTTCTTTGTATTCATGATATCCTTTGATATACGAGTCCATTTCGAATGAAGACAATGAATTGGTTCTTTCGCTATGAGTAGCCATGCCAGTGCTTTCAGTACTGTCGCTTGCTTGAGAACTAATAAAAGGAACAGCAAACGTGCCTTCCGGTTGTCTACAGTGTTTACTTTGACACTTTTAACGAAAGCGGCAGGTGTATTTTGCACGTTGCAGGTTGAAATTTAATTATAACTGGAAAACCGCTGGCACTAAAAAGAATTAATAACCTATCTATTCGTCAGAGGTTCTTACATAAATTAGTTCGCGTCTTTGACATAGTGAAAACACGATCGATCCGCTATAAGTACTTATCGATCGACACGCTGAGACCAGTGAAATCTCCTCAAAGCCATCTGAATGGCCGCTCCACAGATGTTTCCATCGATTCCAGATTTGGCTCGGGACTTCCCTCAACAACAGAAGATTGCCATCACAAATGAAGCAAATAAATAAAGAGATGAAATAATGTAAGTCTTAAGATTTTAACCGACGGAATATACTAGCACAAGCTCAGTGTGCTTTCATTTTGGTACTGACAGGGAAGAAACCAAATTCAGCAGATATTTCAGATGATATTTCAGATGTTTCTTCAAAAACGATGATTCATTGCAGGCTTCAAAAAATAGGAAAATACTCTCCTCCCATCGCTTCGGCCGGTTTGGCACTTAGGTGAAAGCTACCTTACAGAGCGATTGTAAACAGTGTCATGTAACAGTCATGGTAAGTCTACCACCTGTACGTTTCTTTTAGGTGCCAGCGGTTTTCCAGTTATAATTAAATTTCAACCTGTAACCTGCAACCTGCAACCTGCAAAATATACCTGCCGTAACGAAAGTTGACCTTTGTTCTTTAGACGTACTAACTTGGTTTTCAATTTCAGTTGGCCGTGCTAAATGTACTTTCCTGATGCGATCTACCTCGAGTGTTATACGAAATCTTAGCAATGTCACCGCCATCGAAACGCAAAGTCTCCACAAAGTATTTGCATGAGAAATACAAAGCCCTTAAAGAAATTGAAAACGGCTTGTCTAAGAAGGAAGCGGCTTCAAAATATAATGTGGCTCTGAATACAATATCCACGTGGTTAAAAAACAAGGAGAAGATTATCAATGCTGTCACAAAGGGAAAAAACCCCAAGACGAAGAACTTAAAGGGAGGAAGTTATGACAAACTGGATCAGGTAGTGTACAAGTATTTTCTTAATGTGCGAAGCCAGAACATCCCTGTTAGTGGTCCAATGCTTAAAGAGAAAGCGATGTCTCATGCGAGGCAACTACAGATAGCCGACTTCAAGGGATCTGACGGGTGGCTTGACCGATGGAAAACGAGACACGGTCCCAAGAAAGCGCACTTTCTGATGACGACGATCGGAAGAAATCAATAACTTAAGGGAACGAGCGCCTGAACTTGTACAGGAGAATGTAACAGCTGGCATTGTTGTGGAATGTGATGAAGCGTCTACTTTTGAAGCTGATCCCCTAACTGATGAGGATATACAAGCAGAGTTTAACCACTCAGCAGATGCAAATGAAGAGGAAGAAGAAGAAATGGACGAGGACGAGATTGTGATTGTAGACGAACCGCCAAAACCACCAACACAGTGTGAATTGCGTCATGCAATCGGCGTGACCTGCGCAAAAGTACGGTCACCCCAAAACGCAGACCATGCAGACTGCAGACTGCAGACTGGAGACCGTGCAGACCATGCAGACCGTGCAGACCGAGTACTTTTTTTCTAACACTTGACTCACTTTTTTCGCTTCTAGTAACAAAATAGTGTTTAATATGTCCTAATGTTTGTTATTTATCCACAGGCGGCACAAACTCAACATCTGATGGTTGATTCACGTGTTCAATAGACGTTTTATGAGAAATTTCCTTTACCGGTCCTTAATATACTATAATCAAGCATAAAAATAACCTTACATACATTCTGGGCGCAAATTGCGTCAATTTTTGACGGGTTTGTGGTATTATTTATTTTGTCTTTTTTTCTTTCGATTTTCTTAGTCTTCGTTCTCCTCTTAACTGATTCATAAAAAAAAGCAAGGACGGTGATTCTAAGCGACATTGTCCCACAAATCGCTTTTGCTTAACTAAGTACAGAATCGCCATTAGACTAAGAGTATTCCCTCTTTCGCTTAGTTGAGCGTGACCGTAAGTAAAATGCTCGCACGAAATTTTTTCCTCGAGGTTTTCTTATGCGTCACGCACGATGGACTTAGCGAAAGAGGGACCACTCGTAGTCTAAATTGCCATAAAAACACAACTGCCATATAGACAGATAAATTAACCATCGCATCAACTCACCACGGCAACCGTACTGCGCTGAGAATTTCAAATGCTATTCGGTTTTCTGTGATCTTTCCATGCGCTAGACTTTTTTGGCGCGATCGCAGTCACGCTCCAGCAGCCATTTGGAATTACATTTTGTACACTAAGAGTAGAAAATACCCATGTTACCTGTGACATTGCATTGCAAGTGAAGTTTATTTCTACATTTCAAAATAGCTTTATTTAAGCATTTTTAGGACTAAAGGGAGTTTGCCTTGCAAAATCTATAACACATCAACACTCACATACCACCGAGTTTGCGCGGCCTGTGGATAACAAACACTCCGATACATAATCATAAATCAAGAATAAGACAAAAAAAAAAAAAGTACTCAGTCTGCACAGTCTGCATGGTCTGCACGGTCTGCGGTCTGCGGTCTGCGGTCTGCAGTCTGCATGGTCTGCGTTTTGGGGTGACCGGCAAAAGTACCAGGAACATTTCTCAAATCATAGCCCAGAGTTTCTCGGTTGCAAAGAGGCAACAAGTTATTACAAATTATTTCAGCTAAATTGAGTGAGCGCTATATATCAAGTACGTTTTGTTTGTAAAAAAGGTCAAGATCTACATTATAAAGGATGTATTTTTGTTAAAATTTGAACACTTACTCATAATCAAACAATAGCCGGCCAATTAAGCGTAATTCGATGCCACCTTCGATTTCTCGAACTACCGATTTCTCGAACCAATTTGCGTTTCCCCTGGAGGTTCGAGACATCGGGATTCCACTGTACTTTACTTTAGATTTTACATTTACAAGCGTGATAAACTCATTAAATTGACCGTTTTCCGACTGTGAACGTTCGGCCACACAAAATATCACATTTACGTTTGTTGTTTAAAATCGTTGAATAGATTTTGACATTTTTTACACAGGAAATTCCGCTCTTGCTGTCTTTGCGTGTTTCTATTTTTACACGCCTTTCGGTTGTCCACCACGCAGTTCTCGAAAAAACCATCGCGTTCACTGTCTCAGGAGCTCTAAATTTCGGAGTTTAAGCTCCCTTTCTGGGCTATCAGTGTATTGAAATAACATCTTCATAAAAATTCAAACGACTTCTTTTTCCACGTTGTACTATTGAAGCCTCAGCTTGCAAAATCACTCAAGCAAAAGCAAATGACGGACGCATGGGAACTTCCCCTGGATGGAAAAATCGAAGACATTTCGAACAAAGAATTCATTTTGTATCAAGGTAACTTTTCAATTTTCCTGCTTGAAGTTTGCTTTCAGCTCCTTTCAGTTACATCGAAAATAATCCCTTTCCAATTCGTACACTTCGAACCTGCGTTCATGCGAAACTGCTCAGAGACCATTTAAAGGGTTTCTTTTAAACAGCCGCGACAATATTCACACAACACACTCTGTTGGCGATACATATTTACGAGTCACACTCTTACGCAGCTATTATTTCCATGCATTTTCCAAACCAACCAACGACCCCATAGAAAGTGTAGCATATAATTCTTCTTGAACCCGCAAGCACGCGAAACTACTAACGGTTTGAACTTGACAATTTATTACGCGACACCGTAATTGCGTAAGCATCAGAACGAATGAGTTGCGATTTCATTGTCTTGTACCGAACATTTGATTGGCTGGATTTGAAAATGTTGGAATCTATTGTTTCAGTTCTGCCATCTGATTGGTTTTGTCTGGGTGGCCTCGGTTTCAGTAAACGCACTGTAACTTATATATTCACATGTCTGTGCCTCTTTTTAATTTACACTCTTCAAAGGATTTAGATTGGCAGCCAAAAACTTGTCATTTGTCAAACTTTTAAATAAAGAAAGTTTGTTTGTTTTTTTCCGATAACAAATGGTCAGAGCTGAGCTCTCCCGTTTAGAACTGATTCCACGCGTTTTACAATTCTCCTTTCACTCTTCGGGGATGAATATTTGTTCGACAAAGCTGACAAACCAAGCTCTTGCACGTCCTGGGTTAACTCAAAATTTTAGACTTCTTCCTTGTTGACCTATATTTACACGTCGGACCCCAATGCGG